CTCATGAGGTTCTGAAGCAGAAACCTAGGCTTTCCAAAGGTCCAAGCACCCGACTATGTCCCATCCTACACTGGGCATCATGGACCAGATGTCCGCTAAGCTCCTCCCACCTGACATGCACAGGCCAGACTATTTCACACCAAACCTGCATCTCTGTCTGTCACCTTAGAACAGGAACCCAGTGTCATCCCAGCACCTGGCCCCCACATTTGCATCTTAAACCACAGCAAGTCTACTCAGCACTGCCTCCCCCAGCCTGTGGGCTTTGTCCTGAGCTGTGGCAAAGCCAGTTCTTGAGCTGCTTCCTTAATCTCACCCCCTGAGTAGGTCCTCATTGCAGCCTCTCCACTGCCTAGTGAAGGTTCTTAACTATCCAGGCTGCCAGGTGTGGCAGTCCACACCTTTGATCCCGACGCTTTGTGGTGGGTGGGGGGCAGAGGCAGGTGGATATCTGTGAGTTCAAGGACAGCCTGGTCTACATATCCAGTTCCAGAGCAGCCAGGGCTTCATATTGCTAGCCTGTCTCTAAACAGACAAAACTCATCCAGGCCATGGGATTCTCCTTCCAGTCTTTTTCTTGGGTCATCTTTCATTTGGCAAGGAAGACTAGGAAACAGGGCAAAGGGGCAAGAAGAAAAGCTGTGCAGGAATGTCAAGAAGGGACCAGTGGTCAGTGGTGGCAAATGTCAACTCTAAGGAAGGACAGTTGGGGTACTGAGAGGAAGCTCCACCTCCCTCACCTCCTCTCCTTCTGCCTCCTTCCTTCCCTTCCCTTCTATCTCAAACTTGAAACCAAACATACAGGATATCTCCAACACATTTTTAGGTCTCTTTTGAAAAGTCATAGGTTCTATGGTCGCATCCTATCGGTAAACTGGGTCTGGAGAGTGGCAGGCAGACCGATAGTGATGCAGTGATTGAAGCACCTGGATCCAGCCATGCCCAAAACCCTGCTGCCTACTCTATTTCTAATCGGCTCATCTATGTGATCCAACCATTTCTCCACCTTTTAAAGATTTAACCTGTTTAACGTGGGCTTCTTCCACTTGCAACTTTAGGGATATGGAATTACTGGTTTTTATTTATTTGACTTCCTTGTAAGGCTCTCCCTGGATTCTAGTCTTACCCTCTTTTTTTTAGAGAAAGACATTAGAAAAACACAGTCCAGGGATGAGCGTCATTTCTTTGGCTCTGCCTCCTTCCCGTTACTTTCTTTCCCGACTCTTCCATGTGCCCGGGCTTAATTCTGTCTAGCGCCTCTTCGCTGATATTCTGAGACCATTTGCCTGCCTGCCCCCATCTGCCTCCTGCCCAGTAAGTTTTGGGACAGTAGTCAAGATTTTAGTCACCCCACCCAAGTGAAGACAAGGATTGGCTCATTCAGTAAAGCAAGTGGAAAGTGAGCACACGAGTGACAGGCGGGGGTGGGGGGGGGGTGGGAGGGGGTGGGAGGGGGTGGGAGGGGGAGGAATGAATAAGCCCAGTGCGTGATAACCCAGAGCATGAACCAGTGTGGCCTCCACGGGCAGCTCGACTTATCAGCCTCGGCCTAACTGAATCGGAAATCACAAGCCAGCCTCTACTCTGTGGCCGCACCGCTGTTATCAGCAGCGTTTCTGCAGCTGGTGTGGGTGTGGTAACATGTAGCGGGCAACTGGGTGACTGGCTGCAGACAGCTCCAGAGCCATCCCTTACACGGAGGACAGGGCAGGAAGGAGGCGGTGACGAAAGACCTATCCCTGCACCTGCGCAGGTGCACAGCCCCGCCCATCTCCAGCCAGGGTGTAAACCAGAACCGCTGTCTAGCCACACCCACCTCCTCCGTACCTATCTCCCAGCAACTTCTCCTGCCAGTGGGAACAATAATTCCCCAGCAACAGCACAGAGGGTCCCAGGGCAGTTCATGACAACAAAGGCACCCTCGGCACCCTCAGGGGACTGTTCAAGTACACACACACACACACTCCGGCTAACATACTTCTGGCTGTCTTTGGGCTCAGTCTTTTCATCTACACCCTGAGGTGTTGGAGAGCTTGGTTGGAAAGGCACCCCAGCTTCTCAGCTCTCCAGAGGATCCTAGCTCCTGCTTATTTTGCCCGGAGAAGACCTCTGCTCCCAGACCATCCCAGCCGGTTCCCTCAGAGGTGTGACTGGATGGGGTAGGGCTACCCTGAACCGCCCACACCCTGTCCTCTACCCTTCCAAAGGCATCAGAGGGACTAGGTTAAGCCAGGTGGGACTTGAACTCAGGTCATCAGGCTCAGCTGCAAGTACCTTTATTCACTAAGCTGTCTAACTGGATTATGCACAAACTTTTAACAGGTTTTCTAGTGCGTATGTGTGTCTGTATATTGGTACATACATGTGAATCCAGGCGCCCACTGAGGCCTGAAGCTACACTCAGGCTTCCTTCTTGGCCACCGGCCCCTAAGCTCAGGCAGCCCAGACTTGCTTGGAGCAGGAAAAACCTACTCTACCAAAGCTTTCCCTCCTTTGGCCCCTCCCCCGGTCTGCTCCTGTTATTCCTGAGGGTGAACAGAGTGTCCCTTTCATCATGAGACAAGAGCTATCCTGTTGAATTCCATCACAACAAAGCCAGCCTCAGATACAATCAGATAGTTTACCTACCACTTGTGAGGTATTGAGATGACCACGTAGCTTTGTTAAGCATGACACTTTTGGAGGCTAGCATCTGGGCTTGAGGGACCATAAGTACATTATTCAACTCCCCCGTGTCTCAGTTTCCCTACCTGTAGAATGGGTATAATAATATCAACCTCACAGGGTCAGAAGAGGCACACATATGCTAGCAGGAGCATGAGGGTTGAGAACACCTGGCCAGGTAAGCGTGGTTGAGGTGGATTTAATCCAGCCGGCACTCACTGATCACTGTGGCCTACTTTAGCGGCCACAACTAAGAGCATGAACCTTCCTCTTCTACCTTCTTTGGTCCCTCAGAGGGGTTCATGGGGCAGCTGTGGCCACAACTACCTTTCCAGGTGGCATTCAGAGCCTCAAGTGTGCTTGCAGGTAGACCACAGAAGAAACTCTATGGATGGATAAACCTCTGGTAGGAGGCAGAGGACACTTTGTCCCTGGAGAGCTGGCTTTCTGTACTCGGACTTTACTGAAAAAGTTAGGTGAAGGGAGAAATTCAGAAATGTGGGGGTAAGAGGGAGCCGATCTACCTGCCCCCCCCGACACGTAGAAACAGGAAGTCCTCTTTCCAAGGATCTGCATGTCTTCCAGTCCACAGGGTTTTTCTGTTGCTGTGGTTAAACACTGGCTAAGACCCAGCTCTGTGGAAGAAAGAGTTTATCTCACCATATGGCTCCCAGATCACAGTCCATCACAGAGGGAAGACAGGATATTAACTTAAACACCAGTTGAGGCAAGAAGCACAAAGGAAAGCTACTCACTGGCTCACTACCCATGGTCATTTAGCTTCCCTGACCAGTGGTGGCAATAGAGCAGGATCACCTGCTCAGGGGCGGCGCCCGCCCACAGTGGGACAGGCCCTCCTGTATCAACCACTTATCAAGACAATACGGCAGGCATGCCTGCAGGACAATCGTCGGAACACAATTCCCCAGTTGAGGTTCCCGCCTCCAGATGACTCTAGTTTGTGTCACATTGACAAAAACCTAACCAGTGCCTGGGGTGTCCTGTCTGTAAAGATAGCCAGATGGAACCCCCCTTCCTCTCTCTCTTTGAGCAAGCAGGGGAGTGGGGAGCATCCCTGCCTGGGAGCTCTTAGCCGAATGGAGTCACCATTTGGTTCTCAGGGACAGCTGGAGAGGTAATAGGCCACTTGGTTTCAGGCCCCAGCTGCCTACAAACAACAAAGGAGGCTCAGACATTGTTTCTGGGGACGTCCCCTTTCCAGGAAAGCTCTAAGGCCCCCATTTAACTCAGCAGGCTAGAGTTATCCACAGCTCTGACTTTCACCTCACAGCACCCCAGGGGACAGGCAGGTTTCCTAGACTATAGTCTCAGAAGCATGATGCCTTTTACACATACTTCCTCTCAGACACCCCACAACACCCCTGAGAATAGAACTGCCTCCCCTTTTAGGGGTAGGGAGAAGCTTGCCCATGTGGTGAGGTGGCCAATGTCGCATCTCTTGCTTTATCATGCAGGTCCAAGGTGCCCGACAGACCTGGACTCAGCTCACTGCTTGCGACCACGCCACACCAAGCTCAGCTTAGACTAGATGAACATAGTGTCTGTGGCTGCGTGGGAAAGAATGACTGCTCCCACTTGTAGCCTACTGAGCTCCTGACATGCACAGCAGCCTACTGATGCCAAGTTGCCACCTTCTCAGAGCCTTCCCCCTCCATCCAACGCAGCTATTCTGGGATGCTGGAGTCCCTCCAGTGTCCAACACCTCCTCTTCCCCCTTGTGTGCCAAGTGTAAAGGGAGTCCTCAGGTGTGTATAGCTATTCTCTCTTCTCTTGCTCTCCCTAATATGATGGGCTTAGGTCCTCTATCTCTTGTCAGTGACAGGAGCCTCAGGCCCATGGGAGCATCAAGATACATTTGTTTCTCAAGTGACATAATACAGGGAAATGTAGAGATGTATAGGATTTTTTATTATTATTGTTCTGGGAGTCGGCGTGTATAATGAGGCCAAAATGGAGCAGCCTCAATGAATATTTAGCACAAGTATATATTCTATAGAGTGGAAAATTAAAAGTAAACTATACAATCCCTAAGAACCTTACTTCTGCTAAAATTTACTTTTATTGTTTGTTTGTTTGTGTGTGTGTGTGTGTGCGTGTGCGCATGCATGTGTATGATTTCAGAGGCCAGAAGAGGACATCAGATTTGATCTAGAGTACAGGCAGTTGTGAGCCATCCTATGTAGGTACAGAGAACTGAACCCAGGTCCTCTGGAAGAGCACCAAGGACCGCTAAGTTATCCCTCCAGCACTGAATTGATTCATGTAAACTCCAAACAATTCACTGACATGCTCCAACATAACTATAGGTCGCCAAATATACAATAAATCAATTTTATTTGATAATAATATTAATATCCCATTCATCGATTCACATCCTGTTGATCATACGGTAGAACAGCATGTTCACACGGCAGGTTGAAGCGTACCGATATGCGTGGCTGGACACTGCTCTGGAACCTGGCAGATACACAGCAGGCTAGGATTGGAGGGTGACAACATAGTGGCTCTGTCCAGTCTCTCAAGTCAGGAGCACTCTGCTCAGGTCCTTGGGCTTCTATAAGCCAGTGTCTTTGGCTCAGGATGGGAAAAATACTGTGTGCAACTTGTTATGCTTCCAAGGTTCCTCACTTGCCCGTGCCAGCCCAAGGCCCGAGCCAGCCCACCACCTTATCGCTCCAGCCACATCTTGTCAGCTTGTCGAGCCCCCCAGTCTGGTGGGTTTAAACTTCAGGCTCTTGGTCTATTGGGTTCCATGCATGAATGCCCTGTCTCCAGCATTAGATATTCAGCAGTCTGTCCTCTGCGCCTCTGAGAACTTGTCCAGGGAGCGTTTGGGGATGGAAGCTGGTGTACACTATGTACACCAGCCCTCCAGCTGAGAGGAAGTGAGTGAACCAGAACCGATCTGCTAGGGAAGTGGAGGAGGAGCCTTACCTAGGTGGCCCTTCCTGACTGCTGCTTAGCCTGCATGAGTTCTGCCTCATCCATAGGTGGGACAAGACCAAACAAGGACTATCCTGAGAGTATTCAAGAGCATAGGCAGGGCATCGGCAGTGGAGGGCAAGATGCTCTCTTTCCAGGACAGCTGCTGGGAGCCAGGCACTGGGCAAGATTCAAGGGCACTCCCTTTGGGGACCCACTTCCCCTTTGCTTCAGTACTGAGGAAACAGAGGCTCAAAGAAATGCCTTAACTTCCTCTGGGCATTTAGCAAAAAAGGAACTAAGTCTGTCCTGTCTCCCCCCAGCATCTGAGACCCAGCAAGGGGCTCAAGAGAGAAACTGTACCAGGTCCTAGCGATGGACCAAATATTAGTGCTGTTTTTCAAGGGATCCAGGGAACTTGAGAGAGAAAACTGTGTGTGCATGCGTGTGAGTATGTGTGTGTGTGTGCTCATGATGGTAGTGGTAGGATAGAGAGATGGTGTCTGAGGCCAGGAAAGAAATCTCACCTATCTTTCTCCTACCTGTGCCTTAGAGAGGCTGATCTCTAGTTAGGGACCCTGAGTCTTTGACAAACCAAAGATAGGCCTCAGCCCAGGGCTTGGAAAGGAGACCTAAACCATAGACAAGCCTCACACCTTTCTTTGGGGCCTCTCACCCATCCCTCTCCCTCTGCTCAGAGGCAGTTGTAAGACTGGACATCCCAGGCCCTTCTCTCTCCAATGCCTGATTCCGCATCCACTCTTGGAGGTTCCAGATACCATTGGCCACGTCCCTGGCCCATGGCAGGGCCTACAGAGGAATCCTGATACAGCCCGGGGCAATTCAGTTCTCCATAGAGAGCAGCTGCCCTGAAGAGTGGTCCAGGGGAAGCTGTGCACTTTCCTGTCCAGCCTCATACCTAGCTGCACTAGGGCAGAGCCCCACTGAAAGTCATGATGGGAAGGCAGAGAAGGGAGCACAGGTCAGACCCAGCCTCTGCTGGTTGGCTGCAGGACCTCTCGGGTGGCAAGCTGCTCTTCTCTGGCTTGTAGCAGGGTGACACTTCACACCTATAGGACAGGGTGATGTAAGAACATGGCTCTGCAGGCTTCAGAGTTTCAGAGAAGAAACACCCCCCTCCCTGGGGATCACCTTTGCTTAGCAGAGCTGAGCCCCTATTCTCACCTGATCACACTCTGCAGGATCTTTCTCTCATCCTGGTCTAGACACACAGCAAAGGGGCAGCAACTGGAGCCGATGATCTGCACCTTGTCCACTTTGATGGAGGATGTACTGATCTGGAAGGGAAGCCCTAGTTCAGGCACTGGAGCCCTGGCCATAGTCTGCCAGCCCTGGTGCTTCTGCCCCTATAGGAACTGGGAGAGTTCGGGACAGGACTGCCTGGCAGTTCTTGAGAGCTAACCTTCAAGTCAAAGGAGGAATCATGAGAACCATGCCAGGCCCTGTCTCCTCCGCAGCCTCTTACTGAGTCTTGAGGAATCAATGCACTGCCTGCTCCAACTCAGAGACCCCAGGGTTCTCTGATGTGGCACCCACACTGACTCAGACCTAGTGACCCTGAATGACCACCACACAACCACACAACCTTCTCACACACATACATCCTCACATTCCACACCTGGGTATAACCCCCCGCCCCTCCAACCACACTCCTCACGTGCCTTTCCTTTCCCAGCAGTCCTTTCTCTATCTCTCTCTTACACACAACACAAGGCCACCTTCGCATGCAAGCCACGCCCCACTCCTGCCAGGGCTGTGGGTGGGCCGTGAGAGAAGCAAGTCTTTACCTGGTTAAAGCCCTTTTTGGATTTAGGGTTCTGCCTCTTCACCACTTCTGTCAGGGTTAGCGTCAGCGCCTCCATGCTGGAATCTGGAAGTCAAGGGTAGCCCAGGCCAGGCTCGGGACTCCCCTGCCACATCTCCCGCCATCCTCGCCAGCCCACTCACCTAGCTCCTCCGGCTTCTGGCAGGCCTTGCTGAGGTTAACAGAGGTACAGACCTTCTCCAGGTTGCTCCAGCGGCTTCGCCCACTGATGGCTCCCTGGAAGGCAGCACGGCCACACCCTTCAGCTCAGAGCCCCAGAGCCTGATGCCTTGGGAGGATGCGGATGCTAAAGGGCCACCTCTCGGTACCAAGGGAAGTCTGGAAGTCTACTAGAGGGCCTGAGAATACTAGCATCAGCTCTGGGCCCAAGCTCTGGTGAGGAGGAGGTGATCAGGAGGCCCCGGCTGGGAAGGGGCCCAGCACTGGCCTCACTTACCTTGCTGTAAATAATCTGTAGTGTTAGAGGGACGGCCTCCCGGTCATCGTCAATGCCCAGCCTCTTGCAACCTGGACCTGTGCCACACAGAAACACTGTTCGGCCAATGTTCCCACCTCCCTAGGTACCTCTCCCTCTCCTCTGGCCTCAGCTTCTCAGGGTTCCAACTTCCCAGAGCCAGAACTCCTTCTGCACCCCGCTTCTGACTCCCAGTAGTCCTTGCCTTGCTCTCTCCCCACAGGACCCCGCCTCCTCTTGCTCCCTCTTCTTTCTGACTCCACCTCCTGCCCATCTCTGTAAGGGTCCCCTCCATGCCCACCTGAAGCTTTGATAGCACGAGTGGTCGCAGAGTGACCCAGCTCCAGGGACTGGATGAAGATCTCCGTGGTCTTCTCCCCGGTGACGAAGGTCAGCTGGAGGGGGTATAAATAGAGCATGTACGTCAGTGCAGATGCCGTGGACCAGCACAGGGACTTCTAGGGGTGAGGATGGAGTGCTGTAGGCCCAGCAGGCCACAGGCTGGGACCGGGCCATGATGGCCATAGCTAACCAGGGAGTGTGGGAGAAACAGGACGGTGGCATGCCTCACCTCAGTCTGGTAAACCTGCAGCAACACGGGGCGGGCCGCAAAGCGGCAGTAGTAGAGTAACATGTCAGCCAGGATGGGCAGCTGGGTGGCTGAGCCCTCCAGGGGCCGAGATTCTGCCTTCAGGGACTGCTGTGGTAGATGGGACAGCCAAGTCAGATGGGAGAGGTGGCCGAGTAAAGGAAGCCATCGGAGGAAGGGAAGTAAGGACACACAGAGAGGCAGAGAAAGAATAAAGGAGAGAGAAAGTGAGAGGGGATCTGGAGGGAGTATTGGGCAGGGAGCCCAGTGTATCTTTCGCACCCCACTTTGCCTCACACAGGCCTCCTGGGAGACAAGCCAGGAGGTAAGAAAGGGAACTGACTCCTAAAGTCCTTTTTACCCTTCTGAGGCTTGGCCTGCCCTTTACCACAGTGGCCCCAGCTCTCATCCCTGGTACCCTGGGCTCAGACTTCATCTTGCTTCTCACATATCCTGCCCCTCCCTTTCTAAGCCAGTCCTGGCCCTTCATGGATTCCCCAAAGCCAGAATCCTCAAAGTGAGGTGGAACACCAGCAGCCAGTGGGCTCCAACTCCTACCTCAGAGTCCACGTACCTGACAGAGGACTTCAGGAGGCAGATGCATGAGGCCCAACACATTACGCTCGTACCAGGGGTCAAGCATACCGAGGTAGTGAGAGATGTCATTGGTACTGTCCTCCCATGGGGCCATGCCAAGGTCCTGTGGTAAGGGGCAGGAATTATCCTCAGCCACATAGAAAGCCAGCCTATCAAAGATAGCTACAGAGCACAGGACTATATCCGAAACCCCAAGTTGAGCTTCTCTATGCCTCTAGAGAAATATGATGGTATTCAGTCTTTGTCATATGGCAGAATGTCATACTCCAGTACAGGGTGGGGACCTGGACATGAGGGCCAGGCCGGGGAAGGTGCTTACAGACACAGGAGATCGTTCTGAATGATCTACCAATACCAAGAACTCGATCTTATCTATTCCCCTTTCCAATTCCATTTGGCCAGAGGTTTGGGACATACTGTGGGGCTGGGGTGCTTCAGGGAGTCTGCAGGGAGTGGCGATGCCTGGCTCAGAGAAGATGGGCTGGCACTGGAGCTGGTTCCATGGCTTCTCTTCACAGGCACATAGAAGAATTGAAGCTTGAAGAACCGTGTGAGGAGCGGGTGACTGTTCTCCAGCCTCCTGTTAGGGGATGGTGAATGGTGAACCCACAGTGACTTCAGGACTCTATCAGCACCACGGTCCTGACAAGGCAGAGTGACACACCCTGTCCCCATCCTTACCTGAGCTTGCTATAGGCCCGAGCCACCTTCCCTGAAATCCGGTCAGAGCCAAAGACCACAACCCGTAGTGTGGAAGCCTTGGGGTCCTCGTCCCCACTGAGGAAGGGACGGCGGCGCTGGTGGTGTGAGGGTGGTGCCAGAAGCCAGCTGGGTAGTTGGGTGCTGAGCTTGGGCTGGGGTAGGGACCGTGAGCGTTGAGCCCGGAAGGGGAGCTGAGCCGGACAGTCCAAGGGGCTGCAGAGGCTCCCTGCCCTCCGCAGAGGCAGGGTTGGGTCTGCACTGCCCTCCAGGCTCCGAGAGTCCCTCCTCAGGACCAACTGGCTGGTGCTCTTTAAGAGTTTATAGAATCTGTTAAACTTCTGCCCAGGCCTGCGGTGACCTTGGCGTTGCTGGCCACTGGGCTTCTTGGGCCACTCTGAGGAGCTTTCCTCACTGTCTTCCATGTAGCCACTGTCCATGCCATCCGAGAGGCCTGAGACAAAGGTGGTCAGCACCTGGCGGGACAGCACTGGTCCTGAGGCCTGAGAGGAGGTGAGCAACAGTGTGGAGTCCTGAGACACCAGGGAGCTGGTGGAGAGAAGGGAGTCCCTCTCAGCACAGTGCCTGTCAATCTCCAGGTCCTCCTCTTCCTCCTCTTCATCATCTCCCTGGATCCCTGACTGCAGCAGCTCCTGTTCCTTGAGAAGGACTTCCTGTAGGATGTCTATAGGGAGACAGAAGCAGTGTTTGGGTTGGTGTCCTTTGAGCCCCTGCGGAGGGTCATGGGCTCTGGAAGAGTAGGAGGTGTTTGTTTCAGGGCTATAGTGCCCCCACCCACTAGACCTATGGCCTATGTAGGGAGAGAGCCCACAGGAATGCAAAGCATTCACAGATGTGGGACCAGACAACAGACAGCTAGAGTCTGGGATCAGCTGCCCCTTACCAAAGCTGTCCTGGTTCCAGCTGTAAGTGTAGCATCTGGCGACAGGGATGGGGATCGTGTGGAGTTTCCCAGGGCTTGCAGTGTCTGTTGGAGCAGGAAGGACAGAAGAGGGGACTGGGAAAGGGCCTTGCAGAATGGCCAGCTCAGTCTCCTGGCCTTACAGAAGAGGCCAGAGTTGGAGCAGTACAGGTAGGAGTCACAGAACTGGATGGGCTGGGATACCTGACTCCCAGCTACTGTGCCTTTCTTTAAAGTACCATGTAGATGGCAGGCCCTGTACTAGCTCTGTGGGCGTGGCCAAGTCACAGCCTCTAAGCCCTCATTTTACTGACAATCAGGAAAAGAATAGAAATAGAAACACTAGTTTAAAAGTCTTGTGCTTTTTGTTCGTTTGCTTTTGGTTCGGTTTGGTTTGGTTTAGTTTGCTTTTTGGCTTTTTGAGGCAGTTTCTTTGTGTTGTCCTGGCTGTCCTAGGACTTGCTCTGTAGACCAGGCTGGCCTTGAGCTAGGAGATCTACCTGTCTCTGTCTCCCAAGTGCTGGGATTAAAGGTGCCTGCTACCACTTTCTGGCTTGCCTGTTTGTTTTGAGACAAGGTCTCACTATCTAGCTGGCCTCAAACCCACAAACTTCCTGCCTTAGCCTCTCAAGTGCTGAGATTACAGGTGCATGCCACCATGCCAGGCTCCTTAAGAGGTTGTATGAGGAACAGTACCTGAAGCTGCCAACTGGTGCTCAGAAGTTATGCCACCTGACTCTGTGGTAAGAGTGGCAGGGGGCATCTCTAACTTCTTTTGGAGCAAGATGTGACTGTGATGTCAGTGGGTCCAGGAACGTGTACCAGAGTAATGAGAGTAACTCCACTCCCTCAGTGAGCTCTCTCTTCCTCTTGCTAATGTGAAGGCAACCAAGCCTTGTGTCTACCCTCAGGAACTCTGCCTGGGGACTCAGGGAACACACAGATGCTGAGGAACCTGGCCACTGGAAGGCTCTGTGAAATGGAGCTGCCAGGCCAGCTAGTGTGCACACTCTGCATGCCAGAATAGATGGTGGGGAAGTGGACAGAGCTGTTCTCCCTCAGGCCTTACCTAAGATGCCAGGGAAGCCGGCTTTTTCTCCCACTGCCTGCAGCTTGGTCTGGAGCCACTGGCGGGCCTCTGCTACATCCCCAATGCCAGATGCCAGCTCCTGGGCTTCTGTAGTCTCCGTGAAGATGTCCTCGAGCTCTTCTAGAGTCTTGGACTGAAAGTCCAGGAGGAGACGAGGTATGTTCCCAGCCCGTGGCCAGGCCACCTGCCTGTTTGCAGTACCAGACCAAGGGCTCCCAGCCTCCTGACCCCTCTGACCCTTGGGTAGATGAGGAGCTGAGCATCCGTATCTCACTTCCCTCCTACTTTCATTTTAAAAAACAATCATAAAAAAAAAAAGCAGCTCAGGGAGCGAGTGTACTACAGAGTGGGAGGGATTTCACACCCCTCAATGCATGAAGAGAGGTAAAGAGTTGTCCACATGACACAGCTAACTGGTCACAGAGCCAGGGAAAGAAACAAGACCTTTGTCCAAATCCCATCCCCAGTCCCAATGGCATGGTGCCTTCTTCTAAGACAAAAGACACCAACACCCAGCCCAGGAGGGCATGGCCAGATTCTAGTGTCTTCATAGCAGCCTAGCAGTGACACTCGGGGTACGGAGGCCATCAGATCTCTGTAGCAAAATGCTCCTTCATAGACCTAGGCTCCCTGGTCTTTACCTGAAGTTTGTGGTGCAGTTTAAGAAGATCACAGTGAGTCCCAAAGGTGGCCTGGAAGGCATGCAGGAGCAGGGTGGTGTAGGCACCATGGGGTGACTGTCCGTGTGTGCTCAGCTTGTCTGCCACGGCAAGGAACTCAGCCTGTACCTCTACCGGGTTCAGCAACAGCACAGTGCTGGGGACACAGAGTATAGACCATGTGCCTCTGTACCCTCTGTGCCCGCGGGCTCAGTTCCACACAGAGCAGTTCCCAACACAAGTGACAGCAGCCTCCTAGAAAGGGCTTGGGATGTTGGGAGTCCATTTTATGATTATTCTGAGGTGTTTTTCAGGCAGAGCTTTCAAAGGCTTTTCCAGAACTGAACCTGAAGGGCTAGACAGAAGGCTCGACAGCAGTTGATCAGATATATGGCTCCTGCAGAGAACCTGAGTCCCCAAGCATCCACATGGTGGTTCACAACTACCTGTAACCCAGCTCCAGAGGGTAGGATACCTTCGGCCATGGCAGGCACCTGTACTCACATACCCGTACTTAACCTCCCCATACATACACACAAATAATTAAAAACAAAATAAGTAGTTTTCAAAAAACTGAACTTAAGGAGCTGGGGACCTAGCTCAGTTAGTAATTATGTAGCATGCACACGCTGTGGGTTTGATCTTTGATCCCCGCATAAACCTGGTGTGATAGTTCACGTCTATGATTCTAGCACTTGGGAGCGGGAGGCAAGCAGGTAGAAGTTCAATGTCTTCCTTGTCTTCACAGCAGTTTCTAGGCTGGCTAGGAATGCAAGAGAGTCTTCCTCAAAAACAAACAACATCAAAAACCTGAGCTTGACTTTTCACCATAAATTTCTCCTTAAGTTTTCTATTAAGACAAGAATCATTTGGTGTACTCCAGTCTGCCCCATAATTCTCTGCCCTTAATCTACCGATGCTGCCTTGACTTTTACATAATCACTTGTTCCTATGAGAAATCTGAATGGATACAGGTTACTCACAGAAGGACAACTATTCGTCAAGGTAACTTGAAGCTCACTGATCATTTTTCAGGGGAGACAGGGCGACCTGGCATGGGTTGTCATTTACAGAGGCCCGAATGACTGACATCTGGCCCCAAGTCAGGACTGCATCCTCCATTCCTGGGGGAATCTTTCTAAACTAGTGCAGAAGCATCAGGCTTCCATCAGGGTGCTGGGGGAATAAGTGTTGGGCCACCTCTACCCCCCAGCAGGAGACCCTGGGACCCTTGTGGTGTCAATGTTCAAATGTCTTTGTTATGGAGACTTTCAAGCACATTCAAATACTAAGAGAATCTTGGAACCTGGGGTATGTGAGGCAGTTGGCAACAAGCAGTCTTCTCACTTCTCTGTGTTAACCCCCACACTGTGGGTTTCAGGACCCACAGGGCTGTAGCAGAAATGATCCAAACCTCCCTTACTCTCTCAGTCCCAAATTGTATCAAACTCCGGGGCCAAGAGGCACCGAGCAGGCAGAGTTCCTGCCAGGCTCTGCAGGTGTCTGCCTTCGAGGGAGAAGAGCGGATCAGAGCATCAGGACAGGACAGTCCCTATCTGTCAGAGAGACTGGCTTTCTAAATTATTATTATTATTTTTAATTTTCCTATTCAGAATTAAAAGAAGGCAGGATCTTGAACAGTGCCTGGTTGAGCCTTGGTCATTCCTGCCACAGATATATGCTGATTCCCACTGTATGCAGGACAAGGCTAACTGAGCCCTGGCCCTGCCTCCTTGATTTCTCTGCTACAGACAATGAAGATGAGAACATGTCTAATGCTAAGCTTTCCGAATATCTTGGTGCTTCAGTATCCTTATTGGAGAGAGCCCTCTCTCACAGGGTTAATATGGGGCTTAAGTGAATCCACATATACAAGGATCCTTAGTATAGTGCTGAGGGGCTAGGGAGATGGTTCAGTGGTTAAGAGCACTGACTGTTCTTCCAGAGGACCCAGGTTTGATTCCCAGCAACCACATGGTGGCTAACTAACCATCTGTAGTTCCAGTCTTAGGGGATCAGACACCCTCTTCTGACCTGTGCAGGTACCAGCTACACAAATGGAGCACAGACATACATGCAGGCAAAACACCCCTACACTTAGAATAAAAACAAAAGTTTTAATTTGATAACAGAATAATGATCCGAGTTCCAGTACATAATGAAAAAGTATTGCTGGTTATTCAGTAGCCCACCTCTTCATCTCTCTAAAAATTCCTTATTTACTTTACTAAACTATTGGACATAGCCTTCCTTATCTAAGGTCTCAGTGGTCTACGGGCAATCATGCTCCAAATATATAAAATGAAAAATTCCAGAAATAAACATTTCATAATTTTTAAGCCGTAGGCAATACAGGTTCGTTCACTGGCACATCCACCCTATCCACGGCCTGTCTGTTAGTCATGAATGACCATGTGAGCCATCCAGGCGCTGCAGTGCTCGTGCTCAAGTGATCTGTAGTTTTCTTAATAATTTCATCAAGGCACATACTGGCCTTTTTGGATATGCCAAGGAGGCACCGAAAGTTCTTCAAAGTGAAAGCTCTTGGCATGTAGAGAAGGCTTGATAGTATCCATGGTCATAGGCGTCTACTGTGTATCTCAAACCGTATCCACTAAAGGTGACAGAGGGCACTGACTGCCTACATTTTCTAAGTCTTTTCTGTTTCTCAGCCTTTACCACAGACTTTTTTGTTGACTCATTTTAACTTAGAAGTGTTTCAAGGACCTAGAGCGGTAGGTGCTCCGTGGCATGATGGGCACGTGAGAGTTGCACACGTGTGCCACCATGCCCAGTTTAAAGCATATTTTTTGGTATAAGTCCAGATTAAAAAGAGTGTGGAAAGCACTGTTTTAGCAACAGGAGAAAGACACCATGGAAAGGGAAGGTAAGCCCTGAGTAAGGCTAAGGTTCAAATCCTGACTCAGACACTTGCTAACTGTGTGATCTTGGGGAGATTACTTGGCCTCTCTCATCTCTAGTTTCTTCACCTGAAATTTAGATACAAACAAAGTAATGTGTGCTGGACGATCCATTTGAGAATCTGAAGGAAGGGGGTTGGAGAGATACAAATGGGGCTGGAGAGATGGCTCAGCGGTTAAGAAAACTGGCTGCTCTTCTAGAAGACCCAGGTTTGATTCCCAGCACCCACATGGCAGCTCACGACCATCCACAACTCCAGTCCCAGGAGCTCTGAGCCACCTTCTGGCCTCTGTGGGCACAGATACACATGCATACAAAACACGTATAAAATTAAATATTAAAAAAGACCTTCAGCCCAGAAGGAGTAATTCAGGCACTAAACACCACAGCAGCCGCGACAGCAGACAGTTCCTGGGGTTCCCAGTTGGTCTGTGACTGGAATGTGTGGTTATGGGTGAGTGCAGGAGGCAGGGGGTGGGACAGGGTGGATGCTCCTTGATCTGCTTCTCCCTCCCCCAAGAATACTCACACAGTAGAACTTCGGTGGCTCCTGATGGGCAGGCCCTGCTCAGCCCTCACCAGCCGCTGGTAGGAGATTCCTGTGGACCAGCAGACAACACAGAGGAGAGGGTAAGTGGGTTTAGGTCCCAGGCAATGTCATCCTGGGCCTCTTACAAGCCAGGTTCTGGGCAATCAGGCTGGGAGTGCCCCATGAGACCCCAGACAAACATTTAGAAGGCAGTTGCTATTTGGCCCTTGGGCAAGTGCTTTGTTTCAGTGGGCTGGTCACTTCACTTGTAATACCCCAGTGACCTTAGTCTTCATGTCAAAGCCACCCCAGGCCTCTCTGGCTGCCATCTGTCTTTTCTTGACTGTTTGTCCAGGCCCCGTCCCTAGATTGGGAACAGGCATCAGGAGACAAAGGGATGTATTGTTAGAGCCCTCATGTCCTATTCTGGTTTTTCCCACCTGACCTTGGGCAGACAGGTCATTTACCCTGGTCCTTGGTTCCTCTTGAAGAGACAGCTTGAGGAGACTCCTCTGTGGCTGCTCATAGCTTAGTCCCTGGCCCACCTGGGATGCACCAGCTTGGCCTTCCTGGGAGGTGGAATGTCTTGAGAGGAAACACTCAGGCCCAGGAGGCTGCCAAGTAATTCCTAGACCCATAGCGTCTTCCTGCAGTGGGGGAGGGGGTGTGTGCCGGGCACCCATTCCTCCATGCTCAGCCTCAGACTGGCCAGGCAGCGTCCTTCCACTCTCCTCTTCCCTGATTGGCTTCTCACACCTTAGGGACCTAAGTCTTGCCTAGTGCCTGCTTTCTCTACAGTCCCCAACAGAAACTGTCTCCCTCCCTCCCCTGTGACTTCAAACACACTGAAAGGAAACAATGTTCAGAAATAGACGCAAGGAAGTCCCTGCTGGGCACAAGGCACCCCTGGCTGGGACTGAGCTGAGGTGCAGGAGGAAATTCCCCTCGGATGCAGGAAAGCCAAGAAAGCTGTAAACACAAAGGCCATGAATTTTGTTTGGTAAAGGACAGGAAATTACCAATTCATGTTCTTCTAACTTGGGACCTAATTGGTTTAATTGTTGGTCTTTTGTGTGATGTTGGCTTTCTATAATTGCCACAGACGCTAATGTTAGGTCTTCTTTGCTAATAGCATCCTTAAAACAGTAGCTGTTACTCTTAGGATTTGGGATGCCATCTAGTGGCCATTCACATACATTGCAAAGATAAATTTAATCCTACCACACCCTCTGCCCATATGACATCTGTGCAACATAGACAAGCAAATCTTCTGCTGACTTTATTTCTCCCTCTCCCTCTCCCCCTCCTCCTCCCCCTCCCCCTCCCCCCTCCCTCTGTGTGTGTGTGTGTGCGCGCGCGCGAGCGATTTGCTGGGTAGAATCCAGGGCCTTAAATCTCTAGCTATCTCTTCAGCTCTACTTAATGCTGTTCTCATTTTGTGGGGTTTTTTTCATGTGTATGTGTACGCATGTCTGAAGGTTTATGGCCCCATATTTACTGTGTGTGCTTGTGGGGGTCAGAGGTTGGCAGAGGGTGTCTTTTTCAATTGTTCTCTACCATATAAAGGAAGCCAGGACCTCTCACTTGAACCCAGAGCTTGTTGCTTCTGCTAGTCTAGCCAGCCTGCTTGCCTTGGCACTCCCTGAGTTCCAAGCACAGGGATTTCAAGCAGGCTGTCACTCCCACCCAGAAGTTACCTGGTGGAAATCAGAACTCAGGTCACTTAAATGTTAAGTGCTTCAGCCACTGAGCAACAGACCCTTCAATGCTCTTTAAACGAGCAGCCCACTCCCCAGGGGTTCTTCACCCCTGATTATACACCCCTAATGTGGTGCATTTAGAGGGGGAGCTGCTTCCTGTTGCCTTTGTTGACCTAGGACGGACAGCCAGACAGCCACGCACCAAGCCATAAATATAAGTTCTCCAAAATACTAGGCTATGGACTACCCAGCCCATTGCATTTCACTGCAAGTTATTTGCCCTGGTCCTGAGCCCAGCTGCCAGCCTTTCGTCACTTGCTTGTATATGTGTCTTTTGACTCTGGGAGACTGTTGGCATCTGCAATCCCTGTAGTTACTCTTCTTCTGCGGCATTCACGATGAGGACTACCCACCCTGTCATGTTTCTTCCTTATGCCTGTGTGTAGGAATATTTCCATCCCCGTGTCTTGGGCTGTGGTACCGTCAGAGTGGAGGCTGCTTCCGACGTTCTCTCCTGTGCTTGTCTGCTTAACTTGGCAGCACCAGGAGGGGAATATTTGGGAGGACACTGGTACATCTGACACACACTGACCCAGAGGAAGCACACTGGTACATCTGACACACACTGACCCAGAGGAAGCTGTGTTTTGAGCTAATGGCCTGTCTGAACAGTCAAGACGCCCACCATTCCAAGTAGAAACAACCATTTGATAAAACAACCAACTTTGAAGACACCCCTCAGTGTCCTTTGACCTCTCTTGGTAACAGCCTCCAGTGCTTATCATGAGGTTTATGGGGCTTATGAAGTTTATTGGTGAGCTAGGGTCTGATCTGGGAACAACTAGAGCTGTCTGACACAGGACGTGGGACTTTTCCTATATGGGAAAGTTCCCCCGCAGCACAGTGGGGTCTCCCAGGTATAGGGGTCACCTGTCTTGGTAGGAATAAGACATCAAGTAAATGGGAGAGGACTTCTTCATGACGTTTGAAATTAAGTAGATGTAGGTTTACTGCCTAACTCCAGTTTCATCATCTAAACAGTGAGCACGTCCATTACTACACCAAGGGCTGTTCTGAGGCCCCATGGAACCAGCGCTTGCCTTGTCAAATGTACTGGGAGCACACAATAATGACATCTGCATCATTATCGACAACAGAAGTCCTGCTTTGATGGAGAGACCTGTTTAAGGTCATTAGCTAGCACGTGCCAAAATCGAGGTCCTTGTCACACAAGGTCCATGTTCCTTCTCCCACACTTGACCATATTGCTTGGGCAGGAGAAGTGAATATGTTGGGGGTATTGTATCATTCCCTCACCCTGTAGTAGGTGGCCTGTTGAGACACAAGCCTTGAGGTTTGTGTGCTTTCAAAACTGCCGAATGCCTCACAGGTAAAGGGCCGTGCCAACGACCAGGATTCCAGATCAGTCCTTAGCAGGCAGTATGGTGTTCTGTAGCACCACGTGAGCATGGAGTCAACACTCAATAAACTCATGGTCTGAAGCCCAAAGAGCTGTGCTGAGGGTGGGGGTTGATGCCATTGGGGGTGGAGTCAGGAAAAAAGGGAAGGCCCTACCTACTTTGATAACCAGCCCATTTCCTCCATACTTAAGGAGACTACCAGCTGTTGTTTTCATAGCAACTGAGTCTCTGAAACTTTATTGGGGGAGGCCCAGATCCCCAGGTCCCTTGTCATCTTTTTTTGACTTTGACAGGACCTGTCTCTGAAGGTATTAGCATCCTGATGCTTACTGCTCCCTTAGAGACTGAAATCAACAGAATCAGTACCCGTCTTCGCAGACTGCCCAGAGAGAGAGAGAGAGAGAGAGAGAGAGAGAGAGAGAGAGAGAGAGAGAGAGAGAGAGAGAGAGAGGCGCGGCACTGTGCTCCTATTGTTCAGGTGGGGAAGCTGAGGCTTCTGTATCTTCCCCGTCCTATCAAAGAGCCATCCAGCCAGTGAGTATCAGACTCTGACTCAGGATTTGGAACCAGTGGTCTGGTACTAAGTGGAAGGAACCACAGAGCTATTTGGCTGCCTTTCAATGGCTCAAGTTCCCTGGCCTCTGTTCCAGCCTTCTCCTACGGCTTCCCTCGGCCAAGCTCACTCCAGATGGGAAGGGTCATGCAGATGTAAGTTCCAAGAGAAATCACACTAAGACATTCTCCAATAAGCCTACCTCCTGGTCTTGTAGAAGAAGGTAACTTTATTTAACCCACTACTTGCTGAGGACTAGGGCGTGGCTTCTGTGAAATTATAGGTTACCTATGGAGTGAGAAAAATCACAAGTGTTTTTGTTGTTGCTGTTGTTGTTCCATAGAAATGGTCACGCCCAAAGCTCTGGCCCCATCAGAAGTGTCTAAATGATGAGAACTCAGTTTGCATCTAATGTCCGTCTGTTTTTAACCTAACCTTGTCAGTTTGCAACTAATGCCCTCAGTTTGAATCTTACTCTAGCGTATGTGAGAAATTTACATCCATTTCCTCTGCTTTTTTTTTTTTTTTTTTTTTGAGATAGGGTCTCACTACACTTCTGGCTATCCTGGAACTCACTGTGTTGATCAGGCTGGCCTTGAACTTAAAGAGACCCACCTGCCTTAGTTTCCCAAGCACTGGGGTCAAAGGCATGCACCACCATGCCTGAATCCTTTTCTGCCTTTCTTGAAGCCAGCTCCACTACCTTGCTACTGGCTCAGTAATGAGTGGACTCTAACTTCAATACAGGCTCAAAAGATAGCTGTGGGAGCTTTTGAGCTGTTTGGAAGTGATTCTCTGGCAGCAGGAGAGGTCATGGTTTCCTATTTCAGTTCTGCTTACCTCAAAGAGGGATGGGCAGCTCTGGGAGTGCTTCTTGCTCCTGGTATATGACTTCTCCCTGGTCCTTAGGGTGTGTATATGAGACCTCTCATACCAAGGACCCTCAGCAGTGAGAGGCCACCTCTGGGTCCTCCTTCCTTTAGCAAAGAGCCCACCCTCCATTTTTACCATCAACGGCTGCTCTGTCTGGTTCTTCACTCCTAGGTTTAGCACCCCGTCATCCCAAGTTCCTGCCTCTCCATACCTGTTTGCTGGGCTGCTGAGAACAGCACTTTTGACCAACAACCCACAAAACTATCCCAAGGCACTGTGTGCACCCAACTACGGCTAGCTGCATGGTTCTGCTTGAAAGTGGGGAGCAGTCTCTCCACAGGTGACACCCCTCCCCCGTGCCACAATCTCCCTGAACCACTTCAAATAAAGGAGCCACTCAGTGCTGTGAGCACAGAGGCACTGTCAAGGCACCTGAAGTTTAAATCTTTTTCTCTTGAAATTGCAAAAGGAAAGAAAAGCTTTGTCTCCTGAAAGGGGACCCTGGTCAACAGCCAGAAGCCAAAACAGATCCATGAAAGAGACTGACCTTACACTGATTGCTCATCTAGGATGAGCAGATAGATCAGCTGGTCGGCTGGAGAAGTAAGGCATGGACCCTTGCAAAGGAATTCACAAGCAAACTTTCAGTCCTGAACTTTTTAGTGCTCCTGAGTTGGGGTATAGAATATAATGCTTCCGTTAGCTTGTGTTAGCTGTATATGACGGCAGTTAAATGTTCTTGATGCTAAACACACCCTAGAGTAAGTAAACGTTACAATGGGAAAGCAAAAGGATTACAATGTATCATTCAACTAGGGTTCAGTCAACTAGCTAATCAACATCGATTGATCTAAGTGCTGCCTTTTAAATGTCATTTTAAGAGGTTTTATTTTATTTTTGTATGATGTGCATATATGGTGTGTGTGTGTGGGGGGAGTGTATATGTGAATGCAGGTGCTCCAGGTGGCCACTAGAGGGCATCAGATTCTATGGAATTGGAGTTAAGGTGGCTATGAGCTGTCCCAAGTGGGTGCTGGAAACTAAATTTGGATCCTCTGTGAGAGCAGTATTTGCTCTTAATTGCTGAACCATTTCTCCAGCCTCCACCTTAAAAAACTGAATAGCATCCCACCAAAAGACTGCTACCATACACTGAACTATGGTCATTAATCAGGGTTCTGCGTTGGTTAACCATCAGGAAGGACACATTTGATGAACATTCGCTCTGCTAAATCTTTGCACAGCCACGACTAGTCTTCTTGATTGAGTTTCAAGAATGAAACGGTGGTGTAAAAGGAGATCACCCCTGATCAGACCCAGCCCTGATCTCTTTTCCATCAATACTGGTATTTTCAGTCTTTTAAAAGTCATCCGGGGCTGGTGTGATGGCTCAGCAGTTAAGAGCACCAACTACTCTTCAGGAGTTCATGAGTTCAAATCCCAGCTCACAACCATCTGTAATGAGCTCTGACGTCCTCATATGGGTATCTGAAGACAGCTACAGTGGACTTTGGGCCAGAGTGAGTGGGGCCTGGAGCAATCAGGGCCTGGAGCGAGTGGGGGCCGGAACAAGCAGGGGCCGAAGCAAGAGGGAGAAGGGAAGGGAAAAAAAAGTCATCCCATTTGAAAAGGAAGACTGTGTCTCCCTCTAATTCTGCATCTGCTTCACTCCTAGAGAGCATTGTCCAGCCACTCAGGGTCCTTTCTGAAGCATGTGAATCATATATATTCAATATATAATTGATATATAATCAATATAAAAATATTTATACTTTTGCTGGTGCACCTGACAATTTTTTAAACTGACTCAAAAGAACTTTCCATAAGTCTGAGATAATTTCTACCACCATATTTAAAATATATTTACTTTGTCATTTGTGTTCCACTTTTAAGTCTTCAGTTCTACACCTCTAGGTCTTCACGGCTCTCTGTGGCTTTATGTTCAGAATGTGCCTGGCCATGCTTCTGAAGCCCAGGTTCACAGTCCCTATTTTTCTTCCACTATTTTTATTCTCTTGTTTTCTATGCTTAAATATTTTACTTATCTGCAAGTTATTTCATGTTTAAGATAGAACTTCATTTAAAATTTTTTTTTTTGAGACAGTCTCTCTATATAGCCCTTGCTGCCCTGGAACTCATTATTATAGACCAGGCTAGCCTCAGACTCACAGAGGTCCACCTACCTCTGCCTCCAGAATGCAGAGGTCAAAGGTGGGCACCGCCAATGCTCTGCTGAATTAGAATTTTAACTCATTTCTAAAATGCTCTGCCGGTTATCCTGATACTACTTATTAAATGATTGAGCTTTTTAGATTCCTGGTTTGAGGGTACCTCTCTACTATATCATAGCTTTTATGTATTTAATTTGTTTCTAGATATTGCCTTCAGTTCTATTGATCTACCTCTATACCAATAGGTGCTATCTTAATAACTTTAGTATTATGAAAGACTTAGTGATGCAAATACTTTCTTCTCAGTCTCTTCTAAGAACACATAAATAAACACATAGCCAATGAACAATTAAATATTTCTGTAGTCTATTGATAATTTCAAATAGGCTTTAGTTGTTCAGTTTAAATGATCTTGGTACTTTGACCTGGTTACATTATTTCCATGATATCTGATGTTATTATGATATTGGTTCAATCCCATAATGTATCTCTTCAATTAATAGTCTTTTAGTTAATGCTGACTTCTCTGTGAAGGTTATTCACATTTCTTTTTTTTTTTTTTTTAAAGATTTATTTATTTATTTTATTTATGAATAGTACACTGTAGCTGTCTTCAGATACACCAGAAGAGGTCATCCAATCTCATTACGGATGGTTTTGAGCCACCATGTGGTTGCTGGGATTTGAACTCAGGACCTCTGGAAGAACAGTCAGTGCTGTTAACCGCTGAGCCATCTCTCCAGCCCCACATTTCTTATTTTAGATTTTTTTTTTAGTTTTCTATCTCTGTTGTATCCCCCCTCCTTCTGTGCCTCCCTCCTTCCGTGTCTTCCCCCTCCTTCCCTCTCTGTCTCCATCTCTTTCTTCTTTAAGCAGGATTTTACTCCTTAGCTCAGGCTGGCTCTCACACTTGTAACAATGTTCCTCCTACCTCTGCCTCCAGAGTCCTGGATATTTTCCTCCTAGGTGGGGCTGGTAAACTGGGAAGTTTAATCTGCCTTTTCTAGCTCCAAGTTACTTACCCACGTGATTCTTTCACACTTAGGTAAGCAATTGGGTGTTATAAAATTAAAATGTTATCTCTTCCAGATGAAGACATATTTTTGGTTCTCTTTTGCATAGGCAAAATATATATAAGGAAAACCAGAACGATGCTCAACTTCAATGGAAATGCTTGCAGCACTTCCCTTGGGGTGCTGCCATATTAAAAATACTTCTGTAGCAATAGTTTCCATATATTGAGGGATTTTGAATATCAAGGGAGAGTGTTGACACTAAGCAAATGCTTTAGAGGAATCTATCAAAATGACTTCCCTGAAATAGAACCATGGTGAATTCCGGTGTTCTAGGCAGCCTCTCAGGGAATCAGACTCTGTTCTTCCTCTTGCTGTAACATAGCTTTCTTATGAGTCTCACTTAAAAACAGCGTTTACACCATTTGCCTCAGTAGGAAAGGGTGCACACTGCCAAGCCTGATGACCTGAATTTGATCCCCAGGACCTACATGGTGGAAGTAGAGAACTGTTGCCAAGCTGTCCTGTGACCTCCACATGCACACCAAGTCACACATGTGCACCACCACCCTTACACAAAATATGTAAGTGTGGTTTAAAATAGCAGCCACAATTTCTCAAGAACTCTTGCTTTTCAGATCCTAAGTATGAAAGCTCCTGGGAACATGAAGTCTTTGTCCACACTTGTCAAGACAGACATCAACCCTTCCAGTCCTAGCAGCAGACGCTATCCCTGGGAAAGTCACTCCTACAACTGCCTATTTGCTCCCAGGGCAAAGAGAGCAGATCTCATCGTTATCCTGGAGACTTCTCTGAGTGGCCAGAACAGCCTTGGCAACCCCCTGGCAACCCCCTAGCTAATCAGAGGTTATCAACCTTCCTAATGCCATGACCCTTTGTTCCTCATGGCCTGGTGACCCCAACCATAAAATGATTTCATTGCTACTTCATGACTGTAATTTTGCTACCGTTATGAATCATAATGTAACTATTTTTGGAGATGGAGGTTTGCCATAGGGGTTGAGACTCACAGGCTGAGAACTGCTGTCCTAGCTAATTAGAATAGAGGTACAGGCCTGTGATGGCTTTCCTGAACAATTCCTCCTTAAATAACTTCCCAATCGACTGCTTTAACGTGTGTGAGTGCAACCATCTGGTGCTGGTTAAGCATACTGTAAAGAATGCACTATGTTCCTTACCGTGGCGTGGGCAAGGATGAAGTGGGCCATATGTGAAGAATTGTTCTGGAAGGGCTAATTATTCTGATCACGTGGTCCCTGTCCCCCTCGGCACTCACCTGGGGCCTTGAGCTCAGCATCAATGAAAGTGAGCATCTCTCTGCAGATGCTGCAGTAGGGAACCGGCCAGGTCAGGAAGCAGTGGTAGGTGCTGGCTGCCTTCAGCAGGAGGTCTGAGTCCGGTGGGAAATGTGGTGTCTAGGATGGAAGAGGGACAGTAAGAAGTGTGTACGTATCCAGGTGGTAGTGGTACATCCCAGCACTCGGTAGGCAGAGGCAGGCGGATCTCTGTGAATTCAAGGCCAGCCTGGTCTTCAGAGTGAGTTCCAGGATATATGTATATATGTATATGTGTATATGTGTATATGTACATATGTGTATACATGTATACGTGTATACGTGTATATGTGTATATATGTATATATATAGTATAGAAACTCTGTCTTGAAAAAAGAAAAGAAGTAAACAGGTGAGGAAGATTCATTTGTATTCCCAGGGCAGTTTCTGCTCCCTTTCTGGAATTTCCCACAAAAGACACACACTTCTGGGGAGCAGTATGTCCTAGGACAAGATCAGGGAAAACTGAACTATGGACAGACACGATGGTGCCCATAGCTTCTCTGTAGCAATGGGCCTTGTTTTCATGAAACAGGGTCTCAGTAGCCCAGGCTGGCCTTGAGCTTGTCACCAACCACCTCTCAAGTGCTGATTTTATGCAGTGCTGAGGATCGAACCTGGGGCCTCATGCTTGCTAAGTAAGTGCTCTTCCCACTGAGCCACACACTCAGCCCGTAAACCACAGTTTTTCCAACACTTGAGGGAGCCTCTCTGAAAAGCTGTCAGCTCGGAGGCCATTGTAAATGGTGACATGGCTTCTACTTCTTTGGAGGAACCATATGCAGTTCAAATGCTACTCATATGTAAATATCCCCATGAGAGGCAAATATTTTTATTCTTTGGGTGGACTGAGTTCAGTACCACAGCAGTCATTTGGTTCAGCAGACTAGTGAGGGAAAATCCCATCACATAAAGCTGACCCCTAGGGTGAAAGATGAGCTGGGTGTAAGTCTCTCAACATGATTTCTCATGACCACACTATGACAAGGTTCCTTTGTGGAAGCCAAGAGATAGTTACCATGGCAAACATCTATTCGACCAGAGGCCTCCCAAGGTGGTACTCTGGAAGGATCAGAAGGTCTCAACCCATCTCAAGTGTCATGGCCCCCAGGTTTCTGTTTATCCTCAGAGAGGTAAGGCCTGTGGCCCAGGTAGAGCCCACTCTTCCCTCTCCGCTCTCAGCTCCTGGCCCAGCTGTACTTACACAGAGGACAGTGGAATAGAAGAGCAGTGCCAGCGGGGCGAGGAGGTCATAGGTGCCCTTCTCCTGGACCTGTGGAGATGAGAGGGAGGTCAAGGTCTCTTGACCACTGACTTGTGGGTGGGAAGCATACAGAATGGCCGCCAGCTCTTCCATGCCGACTCAGCAGATTAATTCAGACATTTCCTTCTTTCTCCCTTCTCTCCCCTAACTTGCTTTGTCTTCAACAAAACCCTCCCTGTGGCTCCGTGGCAGTGGGTCCTTTATGTGTGAGTTTGGGAGCTAAGCACTCCAGAGGGGAGTGTGGCTCTTGAATTGGTTTGCCTGTGATCAGCAAGCAAAGGCACCAGGTAAATCTGATACCAGGATGGTGGCTGTGAACGCTGCAGTCAGTAACGGGCTTAAATGATGAACTTTCTTCTGGGGGGCAACTAGCTAAGAGAGAGAATCACCTTTATAACTCAGAAAGACAAACAACTTAAAAGAGAATCCTCCATGAAGCAGCTTGAGTCACTCTGGGGACTTGGCTCGTTCTGGAACCTCAGCCAGCTCAGCATTACATACACTCTCCAGCCGTGGAAGCTGCACACTGAGCTGTCAGAGGAGGCCTTGGCTTCCCTTCCCAGTCAGTTTTCTCTTCCTTGTCTCTGTTGGTGTGGATCCTTCTGAGGAAAGGAACTCAGTGAAGCTTGCTCCCTGCCTCCTCTTCCCTCCTAGTCTACACCCTGACTGCGAGCAGCATCATCCTAAGCGGTAGCTTGATCTCAGGTTCATATGACACCCTGCTACATGTTTACACAGGACAGGACTCTCAGTGCAGGAGCATAGCAAACAGGAACCCAGGGTCAGGCAAACCCTCTGGGTGGTCTGGGAGCCTCAGAGCTGACCTAAGTCCTGACTCTACAAGGTCAATGCCTGCTGTGCTCATCAGCGTCTGGCTCAGCCTCACCTCTTGGGTCTTCTGTAGGATCTGTTCCAGGAGGATGAGGAAGTGGCCCGGGTCCCTGCTGACCAGCTCCTGTAGGCTCCAGCAGTTCAGACACAGCCCGGCTAGACAAGAGGCAAATTAGGCCAGTGGTTAGTTTCACTCTCTCTGGTTAGCCATAGGCAGTGCAGTAGAGAAGGGGGTTTATTCTAGAACCCTGCTATGGAAGAGTATTCCTGAATATTTCTTTCTAAATAGAGTCTTGGAGAAATGATGTCAGTTAAAGCCCCCAAGTTCCATCAGGACATGCAAAGCCAGAACTGGTGGCACAGGTCTGGAAACCCAGAATTTGGGAAGCTGTGGCAGTAGAATCATAAGTTCAGGGGCACCATAGGCTATGTAATTCAAGGCTAGCCTGGGTTATATGCTGAGTAGCAATAACAATGATGATAACAAAAGAAAAAAGTCCATAAGACATAATGACCTGTTTCTTATCCCTGAATCTGAGGTCGTTCCTCAACCATTGGGGTTGTTGATCGAAGCTAGGATCCTTTAGAGGCCAAAGAACCTGCTGAGACTCTGCCTCTGCACCTCTGGGTGCAGCAGTGGTCCCAACAGTTTTCCCTGCCCAGATTTCCTATTGTAGGTGCCAATTCCGACCAGATGCAAGGAAGTTGGGGTAGAGGTAAAAATTGCTCCAAGACAAGAGCCCCACCCCAGTCCCAAGGGTGCCGAGTCCGAGACAGTCATGTGGCTTCCCAAGACTGATTGGTAGAGGAGCCCTGGAAGGAAGGGGAAGCTCGACTCACTGAGTTAAAAAGTTCTGAGCCCTTGTCATTAGGACTTCCTTAAAGTGCTGGTTCCTGATTTTCCTGAACTCAGCAAGGGCAAACCCCTAAAAATTAAAGAGGTGATCACAGGGATGGGGCTGGATCTGTGGGCTGGGGAGTGAGCACAGTAGGTGGTGGAAGGGGACATGGCCTTCATGAAACTGGGGCCTGTGCTTCCTTGGTTTGTGGGTGCTTTTCAAAATCCTGGAAGCTCCTGGAAGTGTATCCACACGCCTATAGTTTTTTGTCTAGCATGCATGAGATGTCAGGCTCAACATTTAGTACTGCAAGAAAAAGAAAAGGGAAAGACCAACCCAGCAAACAGAGAAAAGCATCAGTGCAGAAGCCAGATATTTCCTTATTTCTTACTTAATGATGCTTGACCCCGACATTATGTAAACTTTGGCTGTGTCAAAACCTGGGGAGGCAGGAAGGACAGACGTTCTTCACTGACTATACTCTGTGCCACTATGGTGTGAGGCTGTCACACACATTCTCTCTGCCCAGCTTCTAGTCATTCTTATTTCCATTATCCACTGGGCTATCATAAGGACAAGTGGATTGTACAAGGTTGTATAGTCAGTGAGAGTCTTAATCCAAATCTATCTAGTTCCAAAAGACAGAAAAAGCTGTCCACGGAGGTGACATCTGAGCTGAGACCAGCATAAGAAGGGGCCAGTTTCCAGAGAAGAGATCCAGGAAGCGAGCACAGAGGTTCTGGATGAAACCTTCATCTGAGATTCTGGAATGTCTCCCAGTTCCCCAGACCTACCTGACCAGGGAGCAGAACGGCGTCCGAGGCTCAGTCCATGCAAGCATCGCTCCAGAGCGTGCTGGATGCGGTCCTCTGTGCAGGTTGTGGCTGCTGGCTGCATCCTGAGTCATTGCCTGCATGGGGGATGGACAGACACTGGTCAGCTTGTTGGGCTCCCTTCCTGGAGAACAGGAGGCTAGGGGAGCCCTCAACCCAGCAGCACCGTAGTAAAACTGGCAGACACTCACAGCCCACTTGGGTGCTGTGGGTACTGCACAAGGAGGCTCCCAGCTGTCTATAGGGAGGGAACAGCTTCCGGAAGGTTCATCTGTGTGGCAGGAGAGGGCATTCACAGGGCAGCACGGCGGTGGAGAAAAAGAAAATTCTAGGATGGAAACAGAGTGGGAAATGGGACATGCCTATTCACCAGGCAGTAGGGAGTGTTGCCAAGTCCCTAGGAAATGCCCAGGGATAGCTAGAGAATGGCCAGACCTCAGACATCTGGGCAAGGGACCTCCAGTGGGGAATCAAAACCATCTGGGATGTTTTCTTGTGAATTCCCAGACCTGTGTCTCCTAGTCCTACAGGAGTGGGGCTGCAGGATCTCCCTCCACATGCTGGACACCAAATGCCACTTCAAGGGCTAGAACAGGGGTGGGGTCTCATCTCACACGTTGCCTCACCCCTATCCCATACAACCTCCATTCAGATGCCCAGGTCCTTTCTGCCTTGAATATTTTGCAGTCTATCCAAAGCCCTTGCCCAGTGTCCTTCTACATTTTCCTGAGGCCCAGCTGACCCAACTAGAGGACCACAAGGAGGGGACTTCAGGAACCGTTTTAACACCAGGTGGGAAACTGAGAGTCTCCAAAAGGTCTAACCCCATGTTTTGGTTCTGGTGAGGGCTCTCTGGGTCCTTTGGAACCCTGATTTTCGCTAGTCATGAGATTTGTAGCAAATGCCTGAGTTTCCTCCCAGACTCAGTTTGATCATATGTGAAGCAGAGATGGTGATGGTGCAGAAGTCACGAGGCTTTGGGGAGGACACAGGACCCCAGCTGAGCATCCGGTGTGAGACCACGCAACCATCTCTGCCATACTTGCCTGCCCTCGGGGTTTTATCTTACTGCAGATACTGTCCCTGGGCCTGTCAGGCCAGGACATCCGGGAAACTGCGGAAGTGTTGGAACAGTCCTGTGGATCTGAGGACAAACCAGGAAACCAGAAGAGGAAGCAGAACCTCCAAACTAAGCCATGCAAACAACATGCAAAGAGGGATAAATTCCCCAACACAGATCCAGATGCGCAGATCTCAGAGTCTTAACCTAGGCAAATCCTCCTGCTTCCCCATCTGGAGGAGAGTACAAGCAACCCCTGAAAAGTAAGCTCTTTGTGAGCTGTTCCACCAATGTCCCTAGAGACTGATGATGCATCATGAAACTGGGATGGCACGGCAGCACCCATGAACCATGCCATCTTCCATTTCCTGACCACCTACTGTGTGCCAGGGACAGAGCAGGCATGAGTTCCTGGGTAGAAGACATTGACTCCAACAACCATACAAAGGGGGACTCCTGGAAGATGACATACACTATGAAGAGTGGGTGGTGCTGGGAGATGGACAGCTGGCCAGCCCACACAGTAGGTTGTTTAGGTCAAAGGGGGACTTGGAGCCAGTTAGGGACACCTAGGGTTAAGTGAGAGGAAGAGTATTCCAGAAAGAGGAGATAGTATTGTCAAGATCTGGGTGCAGGAATGAACTTGCCAAGGACCTAGACCCTGGAGCAGAGTGTCAGGACACTGGGCTTGCCTGGAACACAGCCTGACCCAGGTTCCATAGCCCCAGATGCTGGGATGGTGAGCTGAGTTAAGAAGAATTCTCACTTACTGTTCATGACCAAGCCCTTAAATGTTATCCTTGGTGATGTTGTGATGCCTCAAGGTATCAGGCCTTTTCAGAACTGCTGCAACATTTGCCTTCGAACTATGCAGAACCCACTGCCCCCAGACAGAGAAAGCAACTTCCTGAGCTCAGATCCTTTTTCATCCTGGGCTGTGCCGGTACCCAGCGAAGCTGAATGACCATGGGATTAACACCTGTGATGAGCGGCTGATCTCAGTGACAGTCCAAACTCTAGCCCCTACACATCATGTCTATCAGCCGGGAGCTGACAAGCACCTGCTGATGGAACAATAGAAACCTTCATGCAGACAACTTTAGAGACCCAACCTAGCCTTTGTCTTCATAGCTGTTCCCCCATTAATCCTAGGCCAAGTTCTTGAGGGAGGGATAAGAAGTCACCCCAGCTGGTCCTTTGTGGGGCAAGTGGACCATGCCACCAAACAGAAGACCTGGTAAGGCTGAAGCAGGTTCACAACCCCCTGGAATTCTCATAACGGAGAACAGCAGGTTTTAGAACCAACTCCCAGCCAGGGTCTACCTGTCCTGGAACACATAACCACAAAATCCTATTAGTGGACCATGACAACTGGTCATGTAGCATAAAAACCTAGAGTTCTCCATGTTAATGAGGTATCTACATACTCCCCTGAGTGTTCAGCCAATCCCTTTCTGTGAAAGGGATTTAATCCCCGCTTCACCCTTAGTAAGATGTGTGCACTCACATCCATCATGAATAAAGCAGTTTGGACAAGCAAGGGTCATCCCCATCAAGGATTGCCACAGGTTGGTGAGGTTTGGGGGGGGGGAGACCATCTTCATAAATAACTGTGTCTAAATCTCCCAGAGAAGACCTTCCTTTTCAGCCCCTCTGTACTATTGACATTCACTCAGAACCAAACCAGATTCTGCTCCGTTCCCAGCTCAGCTATCCCCTTTTTCCCTGGTGCACGGACCATTCTCAACTCCTCTCAGACCCCAGCTGTGTCTGGGTACACAGGAGATGGAGAACCACAGCATCCATTCCAGCCCCTGCTGTTTCTCACCAGGAATAATGCAGGCTGGAACCTCTATCATGGGCTGCATTCTGCCTTCCCTGAGAAGCGTGTTTCCCTGAGTGCTCCGGTATCCCAGTGGCAAGGCAGATACACAGCCCACTGCCCAACAGTCCTTCAGTTTCCACAAGAGGAATATGGAAGCTGGAGGGGATACGGAGCCTGCTCTAGGCCACCAGGAGCACAGTAGAACTATAGGGAAGTCATACTGCTCCCAAGGGCTCAGGGAGCAAGTAGGACTTTCCCTTTTCCCTAGCTCTGGCTGAACCCCAATCCCAAGTTCAAAGTGCTGAATGCACTACATTCCAAAGTTCCCTGGAGAGGTAGCTCAGTGGTTAAGAGCACTTGTTGCTCTTGCAGAGGATCTAATTTCAGTTCCCAGGACCCATACCAAGCTGCCCACAACTACCTGTCACCCCAGCTCCCGGGGGATCCAACATGTCTAGTCTCTACGGGCACCTGCATTCACACACACATACTTACACATAAACACAGAATATAATTAAAGAAATGTTTGAAGTTCCAGAAGGCACTTGGACAGTGGCTGCAACTATCTTGGTGCTGTCTGCACGGACCTGGAACAACCGTGTTTGTACTCATTACCATAAGACAGCAAAAGGGAGAGGGTCTGGAAGGTGCACACGCCCTCTTAAGGCAAGGGCTTGAGGGATCTGAAGAGAGTGCCTGAGGATATGAATCTAGGGGAGACTCTATCAAGTCATCAGAAACATTGTCAGAAAACAGGGAAGAGGCAGAGGGACAGAGGGACAGCTTGCAAGTCCACTGTGTGGGTAGCAGGACACCAGGAGACAGCTGGACTTAAGCAGTTTTGGGTGGGAAAACCCAGTAGTAAGAGGTGGGAGGCTGGACCACCTCTGCAGAACAGTAGTGAGAGAGGAGAAAAAGATGGGCAGTTAGTGTCACGGAGGAGTAGAATACCTTGCCTGGGTTTACACAGCTTAGAGGTAGTGTTTTAGTTTGGGTTTTACTGCTGTGAACAGACACTATGACCAAGGAAAGTCTTATAAGGACAACACTTAATTGGGGCTGGCTTACATGTTCAGAGGTTCAGTCCATTATCATCAAGGTGGGAACATGGCAGCATCCAGGCAGGCATGGTGCAGGCGGAGCTGAGGGTTCTACATCTTCATCTAAAGGCTGCTAGCAGAATACTGACTTCTAGGCAGCTAGGACAAGGGTATTAAAGACCATGCTCACAGTGACACACCTACTCCAACAGGGCCACACCCTCTAATAGTGCCACTCCCTGGGCCGAGCATGTACAAACCATCATAGGTAGCAAAGCCAACCCAGAGAGTTGGGTTCTTAACTCTGCACACATCGTCCCTCAGTAAATCAGATGAAGTTAGAAAAGAGAGAAAACCAATGCACGTCTCATATTCCAAGGGAAAACTCAATTCCTCAGTTTTTGCTTAAAGAGGTTGACATTTCTGGTTTCTAGAGCCCTGACATGTCTGTCTACACCAGCTGCCCAGCCCAGCCTGCCTCCTCCAGAAAATGGACCCCCTTATTATTCAGAAGAGGACACCCTGCGCATGGTGCCATACTGTGACCTGCCTCTCCAGCCTGAGGGATGGATAGCTGTGAACTGGGTGTTAAGTCACCCCTCTGCCCTCAATAATGGACAAGCTGGTGTTGCTGGGAGACCAGTGTGGGTCACCTTTGCCTTACACTGTCGTGATGTAAAGGTGAGATACGAATGAGCCTTCGCAGCCACCATGTTTTCTTCTGCCATGCCCTTGTCCTTACAGGTATCGGAGTCCAGTCCTGGCCTGCTGCTAGCAGCCTTCCCCAGTGTCAACAGCACCCTTCTCCAGTGCCTGCTGATCCAGGGCTTCTCCATCCTTCTTCCTGTGGACTCTTTGGTGGTCCCTGGTTCTAAGGAGACAACCAAGGTCTTCTCTTTAGAAGAACCAGATATCCTCCGAGCCCCTGGCAGAGTTTCTGACAGGCTGGGTTCCCTGGAATATTGCAGTCATCTAGGTGTTGGTCCAGGCTCTTAAGAGTTGGGATCTGGGGCTGGAGAGATGGCTCAGCAGTTACCAGTACTGACTTTCCAAAGGACCAGATTTCAATTGCCAACTCTCACATGTGGCTCACAATCATCTGTATGTCTAGTTCCGTGGCTCCAAGAACCTCCTCTGGCCTTCCTGGACAAC